TTTTCAAAAACATTGATACTTTTTGAAATAATAAGTGGTTCATGATAAAAAATTCACCCTGTATATATAGGGATTATATAATCTGTGCTTATACTGTGATCGTGGCCCGTGGGTAAAACTGGTAATTGGTAAAACCACTAAAACCAACGTAGCCCTCCTGGGCCAGTCCTGGCTCCTAGAGTGCCTTGATAGAGGCATTAAGAGACATTAATATTAGGCATCTCTATCAAGGCACTCTACTGGCTCCTATCGAACGACGCGCTCCTGGTGGCAGAATAACCGTCTGACTTGTCTGGGCATAATATTTCGTATACGGATATGGAGCACGGTCTTAGATATCTTCTAAAATCATGATATGGAGTATGGTATCTGGTATCCTTATCACTAATTTTAAATGTATAATATTGGTAGACAGATATAATAGACTATCTTAAACCGTGGTTGCAATTAATGCGACCACAGCGCATAATATAATATATATAATATCATTCTGTTAATTATTGTTATTCAACACCACGGACTGTAGTAGCAGTAGTAGTAGTTGTCAGTTGACAGTCCGTCGTTGGTATACTAAACTTGTCTAGTTGCCTATGGTCCGTCGTCCGTGTTCAACACTCAACAGACATTCGACATTCTAGTGGGCAATAGCCATAGCCAATAAGCATCTTTCTGTAATCTGTATGCTTGTCGCCGTCGCGTGAAGACAATCAAGACATAAGAGTTTGGTTTTGGTATTGGCCTTTAAACAGTTTAAACACTGATATCTTTTAAAATATATCATTTAGTAAGTACTAACTAATATTCTATATTCCATACTATATAATCGTTATTCAATATTCGTGGAATCACTTCTAACTGAATTAAAGCTCCGCCGTTTTAAGTTTTTAATTATCAGCTGCCACCTTGCCAGAAAATTGTTACTACCACAGCCATAGAAAAAAGATTAAAACCACAGCTATCATAGATATTATAGTCCATAGCAGAGAGCCTGTATTAGTGTATTATAAGAACATATATATATATTTATATAGGCTCTCTAATCTATAGTATGTAATATAGCCTTGGTAACAGTACATAACACAATCAAAGATAGTATAGTGATAGACTACTGTAGTAACTGTACCATCTTTAATTGGGCTACAATCTATCGTATTATCGACCAAAATCATTGATCCATAATTTKATGACTTATTTTTTTCTTTAAGACATGACAACTGCTGCTCGACCGACTTTTGAACCAGCCCGCGGTGGCCAGGGTCGTGGAGAAAATGATCTCAGTGCCTTGTCTGTGCAATATTCCAGCAGAGATTTACCATCACACACCAAGTTAAAATAYAGGTAATTTTGCGTTCACTGTTTGTAATTATGAAGCAATCATCTAATGCATGTCATCATTGTTTTGTGTAGGGAGCCTGGACAGGGCACAACTGAAGAGCTCCAAAAGCAAGATTTTGCCAAAGTACTTGAAGAAAAAGAAAAAAATGTGRCGACTAAAGCAATAGGAGGTGAACCTCCACAGTAAGTGCAATAATATATGTGATACTTAAAACTTTTATTAATAMAATTATTAWTATTTAGGAAAAAAATTCGCCCTGAACATGTTCCAATTGCAACATTGGATGTTGACGATCCACTAGATTTAGATGCATCAGATGATGACGATAGTGAAGATGATGCTGAAGAATTAATGTTAGAATTGCAAAAAATTAAAAAAGAAAGAATGGCTGAAGAAGCTCGTATGGTAATATATCTCATTATATTATTATATATTATGTATTTTAGAAGTGTTTGAATAGTTAATTAGGAAATAAGTAAAATCAACTCAAATAATTTTTTGATTTAATTGTATTTCTTTTAAACAAAGTCAACTTTTATTTTTAATGCATAAATTTGTATTTTCAGAGTTGTACCTAGWGTAATGTAGTATTACATGTATTACATATTATGTATGTTTTACATGTATTATAGATTTATTTTTTTAATTTTGGAAATTGATAACAATTAGCAAACAGTTTTACATTGGTGCTCTAGATAAATGATACTAAGATAAATCTAATCTTTAATTGTAAAATAAAAATATAAACATAATATATAACCCCTTGATCTATTTATATTTTATAGATAACCAATGAGTCTATACTTTGTCTCAATAGAGAGTTAGAGATTAATTTAAGTAGGTATTAATAAGCAAAGATTTTCAAGTATGATAACTTAAATTTTTTTATTTCATATTCCAAAGTAGTATTATATTATTCGGTACATTTTGAAATTAATATTTTGGATGAGTAGTTAATAAGTTATTGGTATTTTAAGTTAAGGTGTCAACAATGTCCCTGCAAAATGTTGGTCCACTACTCTGTTCATATAAACTTTAAATACCTATAACTCTTAAACTATTGGTTTGAAATTTGAYCTTTATCTGTACAAATTAATACTCCATATAATATTATAATTTAGGATATGAAATTATGAATATGTTATTGTGCAAAAACGCAAGAATTAACAACATTAAAAGAATAAAAAAAATTAAACATTTTAAACAGTTTTTGTTTTTTTTATTATTCACAATAAGTTATGTAATGAAAAGAAATATATTTAACAACAATAAAAATGTTTGAAATTGGACATGTCCAGTTAACAGAGTTTGGTCTTAATATTTAAAACTTCATAATACAATCTAAAAATTTCCCTTGAATTTTCCTTGATTAAATTATTGTTAAAAGCCATACAATTTGGTTAAAAATAATAGTAATAAACATTATGATTTATAAATAGACTTAAACAATATATTTTGGAAGTAATCAATAATATTTTGTAATTTTCTCGTTTATATAATAGGAAGCAGATAAACGTGAAGCTGAGGAACAGATTAGAATTCAAAATATTCTTCAAGGAAATCCGTTACTAAGCTATGGAGGAGGATCAGTAGTACCAAAAATTAACCAAAAAGTCAAGAGACGCTGGAATGACGATGTGGTATTTAAAAATTGTGCTCGCACAGAACCAGAAAAGAACACTACATTCATAAATGATTGCATACGTTCAGATTTTCATAGAAAATTTATGGATAAATATATTAAATAATTTCAATAATGTTTTTAAAATGGTATAAAATTAGGTTAATTATTATGATTTATAAATACATTTTTTGTTAAACTAAAATTATGAAGTGTATAATTAATTGTATATTTTAAGCTATCATCATTTCAAATATACTTTCTTATWTATAAGAATTTTTWGTGAAAAGTTTAATYATTTATGTTAAATGTTGAGAATGATGGTAATCAARCAGTTTATTATAACCTGATRTGAATTGATTCCATATTCACCAAACATTATCTAGGTATCTTAAAGTTTTTAACATTTTATTTTTTGTATCAATTGTATACTTAAAAAGACACCACATCTACATGGTGTTCTGTCTTCATCTTACAAATATACAAAATATTTAATTTTGCATATTATGTTTAATAATAGCTCTTTATTATAATAATGAATTGACCTATTTTCAWGCATAATGAGAAGAATATTAGTACCGCTTTGTCACATGTTTTTACAATATTTGATTTTTTTTAAACAAATTATTAGAATYTTGAATTTGTTATATTTTTCTGACTAAAATTGTTTAAAATTAACATATTGTTAAAAATACTTATGAATATAAGTAAGATAATACTAACTTTAAGTTTGATAATAGGTTAATTCATTCTTATTAGTTATTATTAAGATGACTCTATACTGGCATGTGTTGTCTCCGTCTTACAAATGTACAACATACCAAAAACTATTTTATGCGAAATGGACACTCAGATTGTAGTCATAACTAAGAAACAAAATTTTCACACTGAAAAGAACATTTACTGTGCAATGTCGATTTTATSACTACAGCCTTAGTGGTTCTATCCCATGTAAAATAGTTTTTGCTATGTTGTACCTTGTACGTTTCTATGATGGAAACAACACCTCTGGATGTGGTGTCCTTTTAAGTATTCATTTGTATTTATTTGTAATTTCTATGCTAAGCTCTATAATTACAAACAATGGTAGATATAAATTAGATTAAAACAACAATATTAATAATAAAAAATTGAAAAAAATTTAGACATAAGTTCAGTACCTAGTGAGTCTGAGAGTC